AGAAGATATTTACTATTCACTAGAAATAATTACTCCAATTCTTTAAATGCATACTCGTATGCATATCGTGCGTAACCATTTTGTTATGTAATAAAGTCACGTGTGTCATTTAAACGTAAATAGCAAAACAACTGACCTCTCTCTTTCTCTTTGAAAAGCTAAACAAAAGTGAATCACCCCAAACTGAACTGGCCAGAAGTTTAGTAACAGACAATTATTTCTGGCATTCGCTTTTATAGTAGTACGCCGCGATGCCAAGCGGCCAACCTACGTACTCCCCAGCTGATAACGTTTTGAATCATCCGACTATTTTCAGAGTGCCGGAATTTTAATTTTGAAAAAAGAACTGCAGTAATGAGTTCATGACGTACCTTTGCTTCATGATGTTGTAGTTTTTTGTTTTTTTTTCAAATTTCCGACTATTTTCAGTACCGGAATTTCAATGTTGAAAAAAGAGCTTTAGTAATGAGTTAGTGACGTACCTTTCCTTCATGTTGTTATAGGTAGTTTGTCGTATTCTTTTTTCAAGTTTGTTTTCTTTTATAACATCGAAGTACGTTTTTCAAATTAGAAAAAAAATGTGTATCTAATGGTATTCCAGAAGAGTGCAACATATTTTCTATCCCTTTTATCCCTTAAAGAGAGTTTTTAAGCTTATTTAAAAAAAAAGGTTCTGTCAGTACATATTGCATAACAATATATCCCGTTTTTTGCCGGATAGATTTTCACTACCAGCACAGTAAGTCAATAGTTAGCGCATTCCATAATTTTATTTCACTCCTTATTTAGCACAAATAAACCCTGATTATAACTAACAATCTGAAGAAAAGTTAACAAAAATTTGTTTAATTAGTTTACAAAAAATGTACAGTTACGAAGACTTCTACATTTTATGGACTGGTATTCGAACACTATTTCGGCATTGTTTAAAGGAGAACGCTGAACAAAGTTAAAATATTAAAGTACATTTTTCTTGTAGTGTAGTACCATTGACTTACATTGGCTATTTGGTGTGAAACACAGGCAAACCTAGATCGGAATAGATAACGCAATTGTACGTATTTGTGAGACCAATGGGCTTCCTTTTACGTTAATTAATTACTTGTCATCGTCCTTGATACCAGCCGTCAATTGTTTAGTTTAAAAGAAATCCAACTTAAGAAAATATAACTAGAAAAAATTCCACGCAGGCCAGGCAGCAGACGGGACTCTAACCCGCTATCCGGGAGAATGCACTGACCAATTATGCTACCGCAGCCCTAACGGACCGCGTCGAAATTCTTCTAGCCATTCCTAAGCTGCAAGGCAGCAAAAAAAACTAAAAAAAAAATTTAGTTATATTTTTTTTTAGTTTTTTTTGCTGCCTTGCAGCTTAAGAATCCAACTTTGTCATAATATTAAGCTGTAAAAATATTATAATTCAAATAGGTGACCGGGCGGCATGATTTTTCATTGCTTATTTGTTCACGTGTGTTGTCAAAATCCAACACAGTCGGTTTTTTTTAGGTCCGACAAATGACTCCACCCCTGATGTTAAGTGACGGTGAAGTCAAGACGCGAAGATAGCTGATACAGCAGTTCTACCTGCAACACCAGCCATCCTCACCTTGCCGGCCTGCATGTTGCTTCTTCACGCCTCTTTTAAAGGATCCCAGGTTGTAAGAGGGAGGGAACACGTGAGTGGGCAGAGCATTCCATTTACGGATAGTGCGACAAAGAAATGAGTCAGTCAGTCAAAAATTTCCATACAATTTGGAATACGCGCGGCGTCTAATAAAAAAAACAGTGATGTGAAACTACATCTATATCTATGTTTTCCATAAACATAGAGAAGCGATACTCGCACTAGAAAAAGAAAGGCGATGGTGCAGCCAATACCTAAACGATCTGATGGCCGCACTATTGCTTTGTCTCTCTCACACGTAGCTGTCCAGTTACACTTTGAACACAGTTGAACTATGGCTTACCATACGTATCGTTTTCCTACAACATGTTTGCGATTTGATGAAAATTATGTAACTCGTGTAAAATAGTTGGAGTGACGTCATTCCTCCACGTGAAAATTCTCCACTGACGATGGGCATCCTCCTTCATCATGAGAACCCCTAGGAAATCGAATTCCATTCCTACGGCATTATTTCGTCAAAAAAAAACTATAGGGATCTACAAGGCAAGAGTAAATGGGCATTATTTGAGTCTGCCTCTCTGTAAATAAAAAAACAGGGAGAAAAAACAGCCCTTGCTGATTTTCTTGCCGGTTCTTCTCAGTACAAGGTCTACCGCCGTAGATTTACGAACCGATGGCGTTCTTTGGCTTCTGGACATCGTGAGTGCTTGTAACAGCCTTAACTGAATAAATGATTATTATTCTGATTATGCGTTCTCCAGCTTAGACCAAAAAGTTAAAACATCAGGTGCGACTGCGGTCAAACGCACTCAAATCTTTTATAAAAACTTGATACGTTTCAGATATCAAATAGATGTTTTTTTTTATAGTAAGGTAGGCAAATGACCCTGCCCCACCAGATGTTAAGTGGTGATAGAGTCCAGACGCTATCTACCAGTACCAGAACAGCAGTTATAAACTGCCACACCAACCATCCTCACCTTGCCGGCCGCAGAAATGCTTGTTCACACCTCTCTTAAAGGACCCCAGATTGTAGGCTTTACTATTATCAAAGGAATGTTGATTGTCATGATCTCATAATCTATAAGCTAACCATCGGTGGTCACCCATCAAAAGAGGGACCTTTGCCAACGTTGCTTAGCTTACATAAGGCGTAACTAAAAATCGGACTACTTGTTCATTCTCTTTCTTTAAATACTAAGTCTTGCATTGCTTCACGTTTCAATATAGCATTGACTGAAAACAGTTTTCCTTGGCCTAATGGAAACACGTAAAGCGGAAACTAAAATAAAACTACGAAATTAAATCATTGCAATATCTACCTTATTTCATAGAGAATAAGCCTCATATTTTAGCAAAATATATGGGATACGAGTTTAGAATGCATTAAAGGACATTGTTCTGCGTCCATACATAGTTTGCCTAAGAACCAACAATCATGAAATATTATTTTCTAGGTTCGAAATCGCAAGTAAATGACTGTAAAAACAAAGATTATTGACGGACACTTCTGAGAACTTAAATTATTAGGAAAACTATATTTTTTTTTGACGTCAACCTACGAACTTAGTATGAACTCAGTATGAAGTGAATTAATATTTTAACTAATTCATTTTATTCGGTGCGATTTTAAAGAATAACTATTAGGAAAAACTTGGTTAGGTAGGAATCATGAATAAAATAAAAACTGTAGTTTTGCTTCTTATTATTTATTAGCCATTTTTCACAAATTGTATCATATTGTATTTATTTGTTTAACACATGTATATTGTGTAAATATGCAGCGTGAATGTGTATCAGGTGCTCTTGAATAATTTGGCAGTATGATCCGCTCAGGATGTTGTGGCACAGGTTCACTAGCACTTGGTAATAAGGTCTCTGCACTTTGGTAACATCGATGGCATATTAGATAGCCGAAAGAGTAATAGTTAAATTAAAGGAAAAACAATCGCAAATAAACACACACAACAGGTAATCCGAAACGAGAATTTTCCGTATATAAAAAGTACTCTGACGAGAATGCACGAATGCAATGAATGTAATCTGTGATTACTACGAATGCAAACTGCCTGCACCACAACCACAGAGTATCGAGTTTATGCCGGCCCTTCACTTGAGAACAGTTTGTCCTTGTCATGCTTAATAAGGAATGAAAAGGACAGACTGATGTCATGTTTTTAAATAGCAAATACGAATAGCTAAGTGAAGTGCCGGCATTAGGAATAAAGAGTGTTTTGTTTGCAGCGCTGTCATAGATTATACACATTAAATGGTATAATTATTGTCTCAGATTATTTGTTAACTTTTTAATTTAGCTTACTTAACTGGAAGTGTCCGTCACAATCTTAATACTGATAATTATCGCAAATAATATACTAAGAATTATCATAAATGCCAAATTGGTGTTGGTTCTTAGGCCAATTTTACCATTGTCCTTTTGAACTCTCTCCCAAAGAAAAATCTTAGGCAACATATCGTACTGTAACTGAACTTCAGTCATAGAAAATGAACGAATATGTACTTCCTTATATCAAAATAAAGCAATCAATAGAAAAGAAAACCCAAAGTGAACGACCGGACAAAACAGTTGTCATAATGTAATATAAAATAATTTAATTACAATTGAGAATTGGTAATGCCAAATCAACAGGTCTGATATTGTCATTACAAATATCGAAAGTGTTGTGATGACACGTGTCTCAAACTACCACTCAAACGCGAATTTAACTGTAAACAGAGGACGATCGCGTCACGGGAACGTCACCGAGGACTCAAACGAATTTAGCACATAAGTCTAATGGCATAACGTAACGTTTACGACACCACCTCGTCCCACACATCGAGCGCCACGCCACGCGAACGCGATCCGGGAGTCTGGAATATTAATAGAAAACTTGAAACTATCGCTTTTTTACACCCACTCGAGTCGACACGTGCCCAACCGAAATTTGATCTTAACCCCCCCGAAACTGGGTTCACATTCAGCAAGCCGGAGCCGTGAGGCGTATTCTGTTAAAATTAGAAAATGCTTTGGGTCGCGGCTGCTGTGTTTACTATTTAAGGTAATGCGTTCTCTGTCTAATTTTGAAGCGTGTGGGGTACTCGATTCTAATTTTGTATCGACTGCTCGCGTGAAAGCTCTCTACGCTTAGGAAGTTACGTTCACTTATTATGTGAGCTATTGATTACATGGGAATTAAAAAAATTATGACTCGTAGACGTCATCGATTGCTAAGAATCTTGGCATCTCAGCTGACCCACTTTTAGACAGGTGGTTACTGACTCACATGTTCCACATGTAATACTATACCAACACTAAACCAACAGGAAGGAAGCAAGGTAAAGGAACTCTAATCATAATAACGAAAACCCATTCAGTAAGTATAAAAAAAGAAATGATGTAATTAAAATAAATAAATTAACCGTTTATTTATTAATTACATTTGGCGTGAGATCCATAACGATCCCGTTGTATATTAATAATATAATAATTATAATAATAATAATAAAAAATAAAAAATTGAAAAAAAATTATAAATTTATATAAATTTTACAAATAAATTACAATTACAATAAGATGGCGTTCCATTAAAAGATGTTCAGTTCTGTCAGGTATCACTACGTACATCGTACAAAATGCTCGCGTTCATGAGAACCACAACACTCATCACTAGCATCACGCAGCCGCGCTCGGTGTCACAGCGCGCTGGCACACCTCCAGCCAGCTTAGAAGCACTTGCGGTGGACGATTCCGGGGCCGGACTCGTCGTACTCCTCCTTGGAGATCCACATCTGCTGGAAGGTGGACAGGGAAGCCAGGATGGATCCACCGATCCATACGGAGTATTTCCTTTCGGGGGGAGCGATGATCTTGATCTTGATGGTCGAGGGAGCGAGGGCGGTGATTTCCTTCTGCATCCTGTCGGCGATACCGGGGTACATGGTGGTACCACCGGACATGACGGTGTTGGCGTACAGGTCCTTACGGATGTCAACGTCGCACTTCATGATGGAGTTGTACACGGTCTCGTGGATACCGCAAGATTCCATACCCAAGAAGGAAGGCTGGAACAGGGCTTCGGGGCAACGGAACCTCTCGTTACCGATGGTGATGACCTGACCGTCGGGAAGTTCGTACGACTTCTCGAGGGAGGTGGAGGCGGCAGCGGTGGCCATTTCCTGCTCGAAGTCCAGGGCGACATAGCACAGCTTCTCCTTGATGTCACGCACGATTTCCCTCTCAGCGGTGGTGGTGAATGAGTAACCCCTCTCGGTGAGGATCTTCATGAGGTAGTCGGTCAAGTCACGGCCAGCCAAGTCCAGACGGAGGATGGCGTGAGGGAGGGCATAACCTTCGTAGATGGGCACAGTGTGGGAGACACCGTCACCGGAGTCCAACACGATACCGGTGGTACGACCGGAGGCGTACAGGGAGAGCACGGCCTGGATGGCGACGTACATAGCCGGGGAGTTGAAGGTTTCAAACATGATCTGGGTCATCTTTTCCCTGTTGGCCTTAGGGTTGAGGGGGGCCTCAGTCAAGAGGACTGGGTGCTCCTCAGGGGCGACGCGCAGCTCGTTGTAGAAGGTGTGATGCCAGATCTTCTCCATGTCGTCCCAGTTGGTGATGATGCCGTGTTCGATGGGGTACTTCAGGGTGAGGATACCTCTCTTGCTCTGGGCCTCATCACCTACGTAGGAGTCCTTCTGACCCATACCGACCATCACACCCTGATGACGTGGGCGACCCACGATGGACGGGAACACGGCGCGGGGCGCGTCGTCGCCGGCGAAACCGGCCTTGCACATGCCGGAGCCATTGTCGACTACAAGCGCAGCAACATCGTCGTCGCACATTTTTGTGGTTTTGTTTGATCGAGGGACGCGCTGGAAGTTGACTCTACGGCAGCGAGACTGCGAGTGCGGCGGAGAGCGGTGCGGGAAGCTTTTATAGGGGCGTCGTGCGCCGACGCAGCGCTCCATACATGGCTAGCGTGCCAGCCCCCGCGACCCGGAGTTGCGATGCTTTTTTCTTTCACACTTGGGAAAATTCTCATTGTCACATAGTTATGTGTTATTACATGTGTCATAGGCAATCGATTAATCGTTATATTGAGCGGTATTTACGATCGAACGCCGCGATCCGTAAGAGGCGCGCTCGCTTCATCGCGCCGCCCGCCTTGCTCCATTTCGGGCGTTGGGCGGGCGTGAATTAGTAAAGAAATTATAATGAAAAATTTTATTGGACTTCAATTACTAAATTCTATCGCACTTAAAACCACAATTTAATTATTCCGTTCGATTATTGTGTATTAGCATATAACAATAAAAAATATGTACTTACATATTAATAAATTTAAAGCTTAGATAAATAACAAAAGCAATATTTTCAGGAGTCTTGAATCTTTAAACAATTATTGACGCCTCCTTTATCTTTGGAGTTATGGAAATGTACCTATTGCGAATCAAAGTTTTAAATCTAAGTAAAATTTAATAATTTTAAATACCTATATAATATGACAAGCACAGTTGTCACATCTAAATCTGTCAGTCTTTATTATTTACGTTTAAACGTACTTGACCTTACCTTGAAATATACATAATCTAGTTCCATGGATTATGTCGTAACGTTCACATTCTATGTTGAACATTTAACAAGCTATAATTAAACCAAAAGTTGAACCGTTCTTTAATATTATATTAAATTCAAATCATGTTAACAATTAGATATTAACATTCAGTGCATTTATATCAATAAACAGCACGACCCAATGGTTCGTCTTGAAAGCTTCATGAAAGCAGCTGGCTTTTGTAAGGATTTGTATCTCAGGAATTATTATTAAATAAATCACTTTTATTTTCTATAAATATTATCCTATATCTTAGATACAATAGTTAATGGTATGCCAATCAATACCTATGCAAAAGAAACTTGTCTACTTTTTACTAGCTACATAATATGTAACTTTCTTTTCATTTTCCATACCAGCTTGGAAGGAAAGAAAAACTACGAAAATGATTATAGCTATTAATGGGTTTGTTACCATGTGTACCTTGTTTTTTATGACTCTCCGATATTTCGGCAATGTTGCAAGCGGTACATGGTAACAATCCCGTTCATAGCTATAATGTTAGTGACCATGAAAGTTTAAAACAATTTGTTTGAAAATTATGTTTTTTTTAAGTTAAAAGTGTTGTTTTATGTTGTAGACTCTTGGGGTACCTTGGCTACCCTCACACCGTCCCCTACCCCGTGGAGTCCTGGAACCTCACTTCCCGACAGAAACACAACACCACCAAAAGGTAGTATTATTATTCTGTGATCTTCTGCAAGGTAAGAAGGTTACTTCCCTCGACCGGCACTCCAATTCGAGCGGAAAATCCGCTATCCGCTATGCCCCAAAAGGAAGTGTTATTATACTGTGATCTTCTGTAAGGTAAGAAGGTTACTTCCCCCGACCGGCGCTCCAATTCGAACGCCAAATCCGCTATGCCCCAAAAGGAAGCGTTATTATACTGTGATATTCTGTAAGGTAAGAAGGTTACTTCCCTCGACCGGCGCACCAATTCGAACAGCAAATCCGCTATGCCCCAAAAGGAAGTGTTATTATACTGTGATCTTCTGTAAGGTAAGAAGGTTACTTCCCCCGACCGGCGCTCCAATTCGAACGCCAAATCCGCTATGCCCCAAAAGGAAGTGTTATTATACTCTGATATTCTGTAAGGTAAGAAGGTACTTCCCCCGACCGGCGCTCCAATTCGAGCGGCAAATCCGCTATGCCCCAAAAGGAAGTGTTATTATACTCTGATATTCTGTAAGGTAAGAAGGTACTTCCCCCGACCGGCGCTCCAATTCGAGCGGCAAATCCGCTATGCCCCAAAAGGAAGTGTTATTATACTGTGATATTCTGTAAGGTAAGAAGGTACTTCCCCCGACCGGCGCTCCAATTCGAGCGGCAAATCCGCTATGCCTTGCTTCTCTCAAATTAGTCTTGTGTTAGATGGAGAATACTTCTTCAGTAAGGCGCTACTATTTGAGCGGAAAACCTAATGGCCAACCTCTCTTGTTTTCAACGGATATATATTTTTTTTGTGTCAGACCTCCTCAGGATAATTGTTAAAACTTAACAAAAAAAAGTCGAAAAAGCTCAAAAATCATTTATTCAGTCTAGGCTGTTACAAGCCCTTGTGAAGGTCAAGAAGTTACACCATTGGTTTGCAAAAGTAAAGCTTGAGATCTTGTACTGAGAAGAACCGGCAAGAAACTCGGCAAGGGCTGTTTTTTCTCCCTGTATTATTATATACAGAGTCGTCAAATTGAAAATGACTTCAGAGATACTTCTAAACAACTTTTGGAGGAAACGAATTGCTGAACACTATTCGTGAAACCATGCTTGCATCTATATTTCAGTAATAAGATAAAATAAAGATGAGATAGGACTTTGCTGTATTTACTTCCGGCCTATGATGATTTTCGTGTGATGCCGACTTCTATATGAAACTTTTATTACATCTTTTGCAATTTTTGTTTCATCTTTATGATGACGCTTTATTTAAAATTCGGGTGTTATCAACAACCATCGGAAGTTCAGTTGTTAAAAGTAAAAAAGCTGGTCAACTACGCGGGCGGCCCGGTTTCTATTCCCAGTCAGATCTATTTATAAGTGAAAGTTATTTTTTTTAATAAATCAGTAATTAAATAAAGAATAATAGTTAATAAATTAATTAGTCAGAAAAAAATGGGTGCACGGATCACACATCTGAAGTGAAACTTCTTTTCTTAAATAACATTATTGTAAATTTGATATTTTTTGATATTTATTAGATATTTTGAACACACACAAAAATATTATTTTATGAATATGTTTTTTATGGCGCTACTTCTCATGCACAATGAGTTATGATTGTTTTAGCTTTTTAGCAAATAAAAACATTATGAAATAAGTTTACTTAAACATTATCATCATCATCAACCCATGGACGTCCACTGCTGGGCATGGCCTCCTCAAGGGATTTCCATACCCAACGGTCCTGCGCTCTCCGCAGCCAGTGGATCCCTCCGAATATCTTGATGTCACCAGTCCACCTGGTGAGGGGTCTTACGACACTGCGCTTCTCGATGCTAGGTCCCCATTAAAGCACCTTGGGACCTCGACGTCCATCGGAGAACCATTAAGACATTTAGAAAAAAACGAGCGACCCTTACAGTAACATTTGAAACCTCACCTTATATTAGTAAAAAAAGAAATAAAACCTACAAAAGGAATAAGCGATTTGAACATTATGTTCTGAAATCAAATCAAATAGCGCGCGCTTTCACGACATCCTGTTACACATTTCCGTCGCATTTCACGAAATCACTCCCACAAATTGAAGGAAAGCGAGAGGAAAGATGTAACACATCAAAAAATAAACAATTTGAATCATACTTAATTTCAACACAATAAATCAATGAATGTCATGAGACAAATAAACGTATGAACAACATTTTACAAAGAATTATTGAAGCCTTCACGATGGCCAAGAAGAAGTACAAATTTTTTCACATTCGGTTAATTTTCTTAAATTGATAATTGAAATAAACAATTAAGGTAGAGCAAACGGGATTTAATCTTTTCAAGAAGTAACGTCGGTCTTAAACGTCACAAAGACGCAACACTACCTTTCGGTAATGTTGTGTTCTGTCGGTTTGTACGGTTTTCAGGACTCCACAGGGCTTCCAGCCCAAAAAATGTGGATGATAAATTATTTGCTCCATCATTAATTCTTTTTTTTACATATATATTATAGGGGGCATACGAGTACAAAATTCACCTAATGGCAAGTGATCACCGTCACCCATATACACCTGCAACACCTGGAGTATCGTAAATGTTATGCTGCCCTTTAAGGAGTACGCTCTTTTTTGAAGGTTTTCGAGTCGTATTGGTCTGAAAACACTACTGGGAATAATGTTTTCACACAGTTCAGCCGGACGTAGTAAAAAAAATCCGGCCAAATGCAAGTCGGACTCGCGCACCGAGGGTTCCGTTCAAACTCAATTTAATACCTCTACGCGTTCATGAGAAAAGAGGAAGTAACTTATTTTTTTTTTTTTTAATTTGATGTTGAATTGCATTGTGTGTTAATGTTGATTTTTTCCTTTATCTATACTATAAGACGTTACTTCGTACCAAATTTCAAGATTCTAAGTTCACGGGAAGTACCCTGTAAGTTTGGATTCCCGTGCGAGTTTCGAAAATTTTTGGAAATTTGCGGCATACACAGCTGTATCTTTTGATTGCTTTGGCTTAGAAGTTTGATTTTTTCACAGCTCCAAGGGACAGTAGACATAAGTATTATATATGAATTTCAGTTTGATACCTCCACGCATTCCTGAGAAAAACGGTCTTGACAGCCGGACGGACGGAGGGACGGACAACAAAGTGATCCTACAAGGGTACCGTTTTTCCTTTTGAGGTACGAAACCCTAAAAATCCACCAAATCATATGGTTGTGGATAGCCACGCATCAAGATGATGGGGATGAAATATTTGGCGTGATGTAATATGGCGAAAAGCAATAGCTGGAATTAATCCGAACAATTCCTCTGAGCACTCCCTGTGAAACTTGCGACGGGCAATGCAGAGCGAAGCTTCATCACTACGCAAAACTAAACACAGGTTCGGCCTTACTGTGCCCCTAGCACGAACCAATATCGAATTCGTATCGTTTGCGAGTCCGAAATGTCATTGTCAAATGTGTACAGATTTTTAGTTCTCGTTACGTACTTTGTGCCGCTGCTGTTCAAGTTTCCATACAAAATTTGACATTGACATTTTGGTTTGCAAACTATTCGAATTCGATAATGGTTCGTGCTTGGGATACTGTTCTCATTTTTGGGCGGGGGTAATATAGTACCAGCTTCTCGACGAGTTGAGAGAATCGTCGACGCTGGTCGTCGAACTTTAAGCTTGATCAGTATTTCGAGACAGGATTTTACTCACACTAATACCAGGTGGGGTGTTCTCGTCTAAAATTTATATGCGTTTTATTATGATCTAATTAAAAAAATAAACTTATATCGCCTTCAATATCTTTAGAGGGCACTTCCTTTATCTTTAATAGATCGTTTGTTTATCAATCGATTCAGAATTAACTGCAGCTTCATTAGCCAAGTCTAAATTAACAACGACAACACAACAAGCGTCTAAATTTAAAACAATAGTTCACTTTTACTATCACCATTCATCGATTACACTCAATTGAATACCAATACTTGCATTTCGCCACCGGCTACAGCATTCGAAT